GGGGGGGGGGGGGGGGGGGGGGGGGGGGGGGGGGGGGGGTTAAGCCAACCCACCCCCCCCCCCCCTCCTTTCCGGAAATCCTATATCCGCCACTGCATGGAATTCCTTCCACTTCAGATATTGACCTAGAATTTTATCTGAATAGAAATCCTCGTCAGTCCTCACGGGCTTCCCGAGCATTCTCTACTCATACGTGCACAAATAAAGCTTTAAAAATTTTAAAGGCAATAAATGCAGACTTACGGATTTTCTCTCGACTACGGAAGCAAGAATGGATTCTTTGAAGGAATCTATCGTGTAATTCATTGGGATCTCTCATGAAAGACGCTGATGTTACACGTGTTTGCTCGAGCGAGGACCTGGAAAGGTGCTTTCCCCCCTTTATCTCCAGATCCAGGATTCTATATAATTGAAAACCATTTGTTGCCCCTCCTCTTGACTTTCCTTAGAATACGAAGGGGTTAGGTCTCGAGATGACCCTCTTTTACGAAGGGCAGTGAGATTTTTTTTTTGTAAATGGCAAACTTTTGAGAAGCGAAGTTACCCGAACTTTCACGTGCAGATCTGGCTGGACGCGTTCATCCAATCCGTGTTATCGGTGGGTCCGATCATCTTGGGGGTGATGACCGAAAGGGGGCGCCTGGCGACGAATTCCTTCTCTCCTCACCTCACCGTCGTCATGATATTCGTGAATTTGGTCATGAGTCTTCTCTGCTCCATCATCACGTCTGCGGCGCTGGGGGACCTGGCCGCGATGTACGACACCAATCTCACCGACGTCGTGCGAAACGGTCTTCTTTTCGTGTTGCTCGCCTCGTGTTCGTCGCCTTCATCGAGACCGAAAAAAAAAAAATTTTGTCCTCAGGGCCGGGAGTGAGCGTGATCGCGTACAGCCACGCCTTGACCCATCTGCCGTTCCCACCGATCTGGTCCGTGCTCTTCTTCCTCGTCCTGGCCTTTCTCAGCCTGCCTTCCATCCACAGCTTGATCGCCGTGCCCATCTCCATCACGAGCGAAATCTGGCCGAAAAAGCATCGACTGGTCACCGTCATCTGGACGACCGCACTCTTCATCGTCGGCCTCGTTTTCTTCACCAACGTATCGCGATCCGTCGTCGTCGTCGGTTTACCGTCGACGACACGAAAATGAGGAGTTTCTTCCCGCGTCTTTAGATGGGAGTGTACTTGGTGTGCGTGACGGATCACTATGCCCTGACGTGGGGGACCCTGGCGATGGGAATCGCGGAATGCGGCACCGTGTGTTGGCTGTACGGACGAAAGCACTGGAAGAGTGACATTCACGGCATGATCGGTGAAGACCCGTGGAATCTCACCCTCGTTGCTTGGTCCGTCGTCTCGCCCCTCGCCATAATGGTAGGCCTGTCGTTTCCTTCGTGTTCCTTGCTCTAAAAGGGGGTGAGGGGGGCCGGGGCCGTAATGAAATGCGATGGGGGGTTCCCACTGGGAGTTTGCGGAAATTGGCTTCATCCGAGAGCTCCTCTATGGCCCGTACAGTGATGCACTCCCATTGTGGAACCCCACTTCTCTCTTTCCTCCCGCATCACTCTCGACAAAATGACTTTCCCGTCCGATGCGAATCTGATGGTTTTCCTCGGCTTTTCCTTTCCAGGGAACGTTGGTGTTTTCTTGGGCGTCGTACAAACCGCCGGAGTGCGGGAGCGTGGACTTGCCCACGTGGATGGAAGTTCTCGGCGGATTCGTCGCCTTGATGCCGCTCTTCGTTTTCCTCATTCACGCTGCTTATTCCGCCTGCGTCCACGGAAAGGTGGGAAAGAAGGAAGGAAAAGCAACCAACTTTTTGCACTTGGACAAATTTCGCTCCTTTTATACTCATGAAATGCCTCAATTTATTGTCTCCATTTCACATTTGCACTTAACATTTCCCATTTGCGTTGACAGGGTGACCAACTCGATTAAACTATTCAAATTTTAAGCGCGATTTAAGATGATACATAGGTTCAAGGGTCTCTCCATTGATGAATCTTCTCCAGATGGTTTCTCTGTCGATGCCAGTATCTGTGGGGTAATAAAAAAATTATGAGATTGATTGGACGGCCGGGTTAGAAGGCCGAGTGGCTTCAGCTTCCAAATCAAACCCTGGAGACGCGGGATCGAGTCTTTGAGGGTGAATGAGTGGGTGATCTAGGTGGATGCAGGTGAGTCTAGGTGGATGCAGGTGAGTCTAGGTGGATACAGATGAGTTTAGGTGGATGCAGGTGAGTCTAGGTGGATGCAGGTGAGTCTAGGCTCCTCGACGGGCGATCTACAGGGTCTTACATAACCTTTTGCTAGGGGGGTACGTCCTTACGTACGGATGGAACAATGGTAAGTAATATATCAATACAAACCTTTATTCAACCTGAATACAGAAATGCATCAGTACTTTGTGTGACCGCCGTTGGGTTCACGTACAGCCATCAGTTCTGTTTCATTTTCAAGTTCATGAAGAACATTTTGGAGGTTTTGAAGCAGAACCTCTTTAGAATTTCGATCCGGACCATGTTCACTAATCATCAGGCTTTCAACTTTGTCCTTCGAAATCGCCCCAAAATGCTCTGCTGCGTTAAGATTAGGAGAATTTCCCGGCCATTGTGTCCGTTCAAAGAAATCGATTTCTGAATCTTGGAGCAATTGTTGAGTGGCGTTTTCTCGGTGACACGGGGCACTGTCATGCAGAGAAACGACTTCTGTGGGATCTGTCGCATTTTCGGGATTCGGAAAAAAAAAATGGAATGTCATTTTCTGTCAGAATAGACTGCCGATAATAGGCTTCATCCCATGAGGCACCGTTTTCTTTGACGACCCACATCAGTTTGATAGCGGTGAAATAAATGCAATGCAATCGGTTTTCTTGCAAATCTCTTGATAATACTCATCGACTTCGATGTCCTCCAGAGAAAGAGACCACACCCTGTCATTTTGATAATTGGGTCGACGAACAGTCCAAATGAAGAATTCATCACTCGGAGCAAGGTGCATGGAGTCATTTTCATCCCACAGACGCAAATAAGCACAAAACCATAGCCGATTTTCAGTGCTGGTTGCAGATCTCATTGGCTTTGGAATCACATGAAAAGCCTTAATCCCTTTCTTGATACGGCATCGTTGTATCGTTGACGGATTAACAATCTTTCCACGCCTCTCTCAGATGTCTTTTGCTATTCGACTGCAGCTTCTTAGTCTTTTCCACTGGTTTCCATCGAGATGTCTCTGCTCTCCTGAGACAATTCTTCCGGCCTGCCGTCATCAAAATTCGTAAAACGAGATTCGTTTCCCTTTTTTCCAGCTGTCAATAACCCATCTTTCACTGCGATGCAGTTTTTGAGCAATCCACTTTCGATTGACAAACGTCAATCGAAGCGCCTGCTTCCATTGCTTCTCGATAGGCGTTTGCTCGGATGCGGTCTATCACACGTTGTCCTTCGTCATCGCCAACGACACCGTTCATTTTCTTTTTCAATGACTAATCTGAAACCCGAACAAAATTAGCTTTTATAATACGCATGACACTCGTATTTTTAATACTCCGTAATTGCTGTACCCCCCTAGCAAAAGGTTATGCAAGACCCTGTACACGCTTCTGGGGGAGTATCGAGCATCTGCCCACCCTCAGGCGAGCATGGATGTCGCTGTGTGCCACGTCTCCGAGTACGTCTGCAGTACGCATTCGGACTCGGGCCAGTCGTGGACCAAAATAGCCGACCCGAGAGAGCTTTGCCTAATCCGAGGAAGGTTCGTCAACGTGAGCCCTGATCCTCCCGCTCTCCTCAGTGAGAGAATCGACATGGGTCTCCGACAAAGTCGATCGAAAGAAAACGACTGTCGGTGATAAATGTGATCGTAAAACAGGCGTGTGATGCGACTATTGGCGATGAAGACAGGACACTACTGATGGAATGAACTTTCCGCCTCGTCGTGTCCGCGTTTCTTGTCACATCACAATGGGATATTTCGTCCCATATACGGTAAGGCGGATACTGTGGGTGACACTGAAGAGTCCAATGGGAACCCTTCACATGACATTTTTTCGGGAGACCGGATGTGAGGCTTTTCTCCTTTTGGCCTTCCCTTTTATTTAGTAATAATAATATTTTTTACAGTAGTAATGCGAGTAAGCAATTCAAGGAAGGGGCTGGAAATGAATAATCCACCAGGAAAAGCCATTGTTATAGGACATCTAGACCGTGGGATGAGAAGGGAGAGCGGCGATATTCTGGGTCAAACAAACGTTTTTGATGTCTGATTACAGCTCGTTGGTGCGAGTATTGCATCATGATGACAGGGAAACCTCTAATTATTCTCTGATATAGCTAATAGAACTCAACAAATGTAGAATCGAGTGGAAATAGCGTAAACCGATTTTGTCCGAGGCCATAATGTGAGCCTGGTTTAAGCACTCCTTGCAGGAGTGAGAAGATAGAGAAAAACCCCAGATCACCGCTACAAATGCAAACTATCCATCAAATATTGAATGAATACATCCATTTCCACCATTGCAACCAGATATGGAGTTCTGTCCTTTGCTTTCGTGGTAGAAGCACAGAATTTATCCCCCATATGCTTTTCTCAAACATGACGTCACTTTACTCTTCCACGAAAATTAGTCAACGATGGCCTGAGATGGCCAGGGAAATTCTTGTTTTCTCGCTGGTCTGAATCTCCCTCGGTCCAACAATGGGTCCCTGCCGGAAGGACTGCAATCGAATCTGGTGCATCACAGCCTGTGTCAAGGAGGCACCTCAAGCAGGTACCTCTAAGTACTATATTAAGAGCACGTCCGTTATCAAAACCCTTACGTGTATGAGGCCCGTTTCCGGTCTAAAAAAAAATTAACAGACAGCATCCGTTCAGAATCATCTTTCCTTCGCAGGTCGCACGCAAGGTTTAGAGAAGGTTTAGAGAAGGTTTAGAGAATCGTTGTAACAGATTGCACTTAATCAGATTAAAATTGCCAATCGATTAATTCCAAAGAAGCATCGTGCTTTCCATTTCTCCATTCTTCTGGATTCACAGCTTCGTTTACAGCGCATGTTTCGGCTTGGACCTTTTTCTTTTCTTCTATGTTTTAATCGTTTTTCCGCATAGAGGAGTCTGGCTCCGTCTTCAAAATGGAAGCCAGCACCAGAGACGTTCGAGTGGTTTCTGGAGCACTATAGCGGAAAATACAGCCTGAGTCCGGATCCGGTTATAATGGTCCACGTGGATTCGCTGAAAAATCCATCGGGAATCCCGATCGGATTCGCTCTGACGCCCGAGAAATCCACGGGTTTCCCGGATTCCACCGATCCCGAAGTTCAAAGCAGGCTGCTCGAGCTCTTACACGTGAGACCAGAACGGTGACTTCTGTCTTCTGAGTCCTATATCCGAGGAGAGTGACGAATGTTGGATTTGGGATTCCCGCAGCCGAGTCGAGAAGGGAAATGGACATGGGGGAGAGTCCGAGCCGAAACGGTCGCGGAGGATCATCTACAGCGTCGACGAGTGTCGGTAGCCTCGTCGAACGGCGACCGTCATCAGCAGTCGGTCATAACCAGAGAGGAGAAGAGAGTCCTGCGAGATGCTCTGCAACGCAGGGATGCCGGAGATCCCACTCAGGTCTCCCTCTCGCCCATTCTTGACGATATCTCCGACGACCCAGGCCACATCAGTGCTGCCAGTTTTTTGTAACGATAAAAAAATAAACAAATCCTTTTTCGACTGAACGTAATGACGTTGTTCATTTCCTTCGACACTCCATTAAATCATGATCATTTCCTGGGCTTTTGAAGATGAGGGGAGTGGGAGGACTAAACGATAACAAAAGACTTAAAAAAAAAAACATCCCAATTGTGCAAAGCAGTGTGGATAATTTACCATCGTGTTCCGCTCAGGAATCCCTACATGAGAGGGAAATAGAATCTTGAAACAGTATTTGATAGTAATAAAGGACTACTCCTGCCTTTTATGATAGTTAGCCCAAGAAGGAGATAAACCTTGCTGCAAGAATCTTTTCCCGCATCTAAGACCGCAATTCCGAAATAAGCCCTGCTCTAACATCATCCTTGCCTTTTGAAATGGTATGAAGTTTAGAAGGGACGAAGCTGAGGCCCTAATCACAAGGCACGAGTCGCAGTGACATTCCAGGAAAATTGGGAAGGAGGAACCGAATCCAGAACGGGATGAGACATCGTCGTGGTGCTCAGGCTGTGTTCCACGGTACAAATTAAAGCTGAAGAATTTCCCTAAAGGATCAGAGGGGGTGATTCGAATTTTGTCGATGCGATTGATAGCTGTCGGCTATTGTCTTCCATTGGATGCCTAATAATTCTATATTTTGTGTTTTTCCTTTGGACATTTTTTCCGCTTGATTCGAACTCTTTAGATGTTCCTCGGACATGTTTCTTTTCTTTTCGAGATGGACTCGACCATGGACCTGCATTTTTTTTTATCTGATTCGCCTTGTTTTTCTTCTGACATAGCGGGTGAGTGAGTTTGAAGCGCAATTCCTCAAGTCATGGTCGAGTCCGAATCAAGATTCGATTCGATTCAGATCACCAATCAACCATGAAATCTGGTATTTGTCTTACAGGTATACAGCTCACGAAATGGCGAGTAACCCTCACCCAGATATCTGATATCGGCGGTCGTGACGGCCTTCTTCCGATAGAACTCAGCTTTCCGTGATTTTAAATAGTTGCCAAAGCACAAAGAAAATCACACATTTTTCCGAAGGGAGAGCTCACTAGCGTTTACCTATGGTAACTTATCGGTTATAAATATTTTTTAAAAAAAACAAGCAGGACAGCCCAACACAGAAATGAGCCTCCTTTTATCGTCCTGCCGTAAACGATTAAGAGCAGAAATGAGAAATACCAATGCGAAAACGGGGAGAAGACGTCAGAGCCGTTGCATTACACGAGGATGCGCCCTGACGGGGG